CCTTTCTTATACTGTATATAATTACGAATCATACAAACAAAACATCCAATTCCTACCTATCACACATTCTTAATACCATATTTTCCAACTCTTAACTTCTCTGTGTTTTTCTTTCCCTCATTTCTAACCATCGGTACCATTTGTCCCAGATTTCGTGATAATCTGCCTCACCCTTGTCTTTGAGCTCTAGAGTCAGTCTGTCCATTTCTGCGCACATCAGTATCTTATTGATTATAAAATATTTTTCATTAACACCACCATGGACTTAGTTTACTTTATTATCATTGCCTCTCACAAAATGAAATTAAATGCCATCTTCAGTACGTACATTATAACTATAAAAATAAAACACAAACACACATTCTTCACATTCTGTACAATTGAACTGAAAACTCCTGATAATGCATTAATATTGCACTATACATACAGTAGAATTCAATATAGTTACTGCTGTGGAATAGAAGCTGTTTTTCAGCCTATTTGTCCTTGTTTCTATTGTCCTGTACTGTCTGCCAGATGGTAATAGTTTTAAAAAAGTGCCCAGGATGAGATGGATCTTTAAGAATGTTTTGAACTTTCTTAAGGCAGCGAGAGCTATAAAGCTCTTCCAAAGAGGGGAGAGGGCAACCAGTGATCCTCTGGGCAATGATGTTCACCCTCTGGAGAGCTGTCCTATCTGCCACTATGCAACTGGCAAACCATACACAGGTGCAGTAAGTTGAAATACTCTCTACGGTGCAGTGGTGGAAGGTCACCAGCAGTGTTTCATTCAGTTTCTGTTTCCTGAGAAGTCTCAGGTAGCATCATCTCTGCTGGGCCCTTTTGACCAGTGCTGCAATGTTAGTGCCCCAGGTCAAGTCTTTTATGATAACACCCAAAAACCTAAAACTGGCCACTTGCTCTACTTGGTCTCCATTGATAAGCAAGGGCTGGATGCCTGATCTATTCCTTCTATAGTCCACTATAAGCTCCTTGGTTTTACCTGAATTAGACTACAAAATAGTCAAACCTTGTACATTGTTTTAGCATTTATTTATAACCAGTGGGTGAAAACCATTCATGTATTCCTTGTTTGTCACTTCGTTTTTCAGAATTGAGTGGTTTTGGCACCAACTCTTTTCAACTGACAGGGAACTGGGTTGATAAAGTTGTAACGGTGAGGTATGTAAAGGCAATGCTTATTCTGATTACAAATTAGCATTTGGGGTGGTTACTTTTTGGGTCATTTCCAGGTGATTTTAAGAGCCAATTCATATAGATTGGATTTTTCTGACTTGGGTACAAAATAGATATGAGTTTAAAGGAGTAGAAACTGGCAGCAGGGAGATTCTAATTGCAAGATGATTGATTCACATCCAGTAGAGCATAGAACAGAAGTTTCATTGAGGTAGTCATTTAAAATATAAAACTAATACAAAGACACAAGTGGATCAGTGGTGGGATTGAAAAAAAAAAATCTACTGGTTCTGTGGGCGTGGCTGGCTGGGTGTGGCATGGCTTGGTGGACGTGGCAGGGGAGGGACACTGTAAGATCTCAATTCCCTCCCCACTCCTGGGGGAAGGATATTGCAAAATCTCCATTCCTTCCCAATCAGCTGGGACTCGGGAGGCAGAGAATAGATGGGGGCCGGGCCAGTCAGAGGTAGTATTTACCTTTTCTCCAAACCACTCAAAATTTCTGCTACCGGTTCTCCAGAACTGATCAGAACCTGCTGAATACCACCTCTGAAGGGGAGATACAAAGAAAATAGGACATGTTCACAGTAACTTATCATCCCTGCAGGTAACCCCAATCTGATCAAAATGTTCCATCCTCTTTGAAATGGCCTTTGACTTGATGGCTATCTTCCAATACTTGAAGGGCTATCACAGGGAAGAAAGGGTGGATTTTTTCTCCGTAGCACCTGAGGGTAGGACCAGAAACAATGAGTGGAAGTTGCTGAGAGAGAGAGAGAGAGAGAGAGAGAGAGATCCAACGTGGAACTAAAGAGGGATTTCCTTGATAGAACGATCAGTGAAATGGGTTGCCTCCTGATTGCTCCATCATTGGAAGTTTTCATGAAAAGATTGGCAATCATATGTCCAAAGAATGCTATAAGGACTCCTGCCTTGGGTAGAGGATTAGACTAGAAGGCCTCCAAGGTCACTTCCAGCCCTATGAATCTATGATTCATGATAGGCAGGCTTGTTCCCTGCTAAAAGGTTTTTTCAAACGTTTTTCACATTTACGGCCGTTGAAGCATCCCCATGGTCATGTGATCAAAATTCAAACACTTAGCAACTGACCCCTATTTATGAGGGTTGCAGTGCCCTGGGGGTTCCATGATCCCCTTTTGCAACCTTCCAACAAGTCAATGGAAAAGATTCACTTAACCGCTGTTACTGACTTAATAGTTGCAAGGGGATTCATTTAGCAACCATGACAAGAAAGTAAAATGGGGCAACATTCACTGAACGACGGTCTTGCTTAGTAGCAGAAATGTAGGATTCCATTGTGGTCATAAATCGAGGGTCTCCCTGTATTGGGCATGACAAAGATTGGCAATATTTTTGAACCATTAAGAAGTCAAGTGTTCGTATTTGTACGAAGGGGGTGGGGTGGGGGGCAGAGGCCCCTCTGTTTGACTCTGCTGTTCTCCCGCATCTTCAGAGAAGAAGACATCTTGATTGCTATGCTGAGACTGTTGGAATACGAACGTGTGGCTGTTGACGCAGAAGGAGCCATTGCATTGGCTGCTCTCGTGTCTGGGAAACTGCCAGAATTAAAGGGCAAAAGGTATCAAACTATCCCAAAGCTCAGTTTGGTATATTTATTGGACTGTCTGGAAAGGCCACTCAAAGAATTTCAAGGGTGTTCCCTAGACTGCAGAATTGCAAAACCACTTCGAGAGAGTTGACTTTGACTCAACGGAGAATGATCTTCCTGGTCTGACCTAGGCTTCCCGAAAGCACAAAGCCGACTCCTCGTCCCAATAAAACCCCTTTTATTTAGTTCAAAGTGAATTCCTCTCCAGCAAAGTCCCAGCCAACAGTCTTTCAAGAGATTTCACAACTACAGACCTTTATCAGGCTTGGAGAGCTGCCAGGCTGATATCTTCCAAACGCCACTCTGTCGCAGACAATACTTGGCAAGAAGTCAGGAACAGATTTTCACTCTGATGAATTGAAATAATTGTCTCCTGCAAACTCTCCTCCCCTTTCGGTCCTCTTTATTCCCTATGGGAGGGCCCATTCACTGTCCACCTGTGCCTTTACTCCCGAGTTGACTCTTCTTCCTTAGCTGTTCCCTTCTCCTGGCAATTCTGCGCATACACACATCAGGAACAGGCTCCAGCTATTCTTCTGCCTCACTGATGTCTGACTCTGAAGGCAGCTGATAACAGTCAGGTGGCTCTGGCCCCCTCTCTGCCTCTGACACAGAGCCCTCATCAGAGCCTTCCCCAGACTGGCCCAGGTTCCTCCCTAACTTCCCTACTGTCTAAGTCTGCCATCAGCGCCACTGGCTGGCTACAACAAAATGCTGCAAATGCTTCCTACATCTTCCAATCCCTGAGTTACTGGCAGATGGGTCAGATAGCTCTACAATTAGCAAGTACTACTTGGCCGTATCTCCCAGGACTGTAAGAGGGGGGGGAGTATGTGGATGTGACAATGAAGTAGCTTCTGTTTTGTTCCATTCTGACATGTATTGAGGAAGGAGAAAGGCAAGTGTATGAAATTTTTAAAAAACCTGGTACAATTCCTAAGTAGAAATGTTACCCTGAAAAGGACCTGCTGTCCATTACTACATATTTCCTTGAGTTATGGATGTTCAGCAGATGATATCCTTCATGTCCTTGTTAGGTTGACATCTTCATCCTCCAAGGTGGTGTTAAAAAATAATATGGAACAAAACGTGTGTTGGTTTTCCTTATAAATTTCCCTTCTAAAAAAATGGATGAAGGACTATCTTACCCTGAGCTGGATTGAGACAAGAGAAAAAGAGATTTTAGTCCATTCCACTCTGGAGAACTTTGTTCTCCAAAATCTCCTGCTTTATTGGCTTCAGGTTGTCCAAGATTCATTCAAAGGAATGAAAACCAGGAACTATTGTTTTACTGGGAGGCCAGTTTTCCCCAGCCTTGCATTCTTCTGGTAGTTACGCCCACATAACATAACAGGATGATGGATATTAAAATTGAATAAATGGGTTATTATATATGTAGGTTGGAGAAGAATGGAAGAAGCTGGGCAGATATGGAGACAAAGGTCTACACATCCTGAAGACTTGTAAAACCGGCATTTACTAGAAGGCTATTGTTAGAGATGGACAATGGGAAACCATATTATAATCCTTGATCCTATTAAGTCTAGCAATCAAGCTAGGAAAGGTGTTCTCCTAAAGGGAAAAATGGTTTGTTTCATTCTCTCCTCTTCTTTCAGAGTGGCGGTAGCTGTGAGCAATGGAAACATGGAACTCCCTCTGATGAGGCAGTGCATGGATCAGGCCCTTACTCTCGATAACAGAGTGTGCAAATTCACTGTCACGACCGTTGACTGTCCAGGAGAGATTTCAAAGCTACTGGAGACTTTAGCTCGCGAGGAGGCAAGGTAGTCTAAACGTGCTTTGATTTTGATGGCGACCATAATCTACCGACCTGTTGTTTTGACTTAGGCTTCACAAAATCACGAAGTGGACTCCTTGTCCCGACAAAATCCCTTTTTATTAAGCTAATGTGAATTCCTCTCATTCACTGCAAACAGCAGCGACCCAGGCCTGTTACACACCCAACCTTGTTCCCATGGCGGCACATTAAACGCCGCCATCTTATTTTTGCTTCAGTGCATGCTACTTTTTTTAGTATTGTGCATGTGTACATAGCATGTGTGTTCTCACGGCGCATCCCTAAGTGAATTGGCAGTAGCAGCAGCCGGCACCCACTCCTGACCGATATGAACATGTTCCATGTTGCACCGGCCCTGCAAGTCTATCGTACTACATACTTACGATGTTATGTTGCATTCAGGAGTATAACAGCCCACGGATTAAAGCTGTTTTCCAGTCTGTTCCTGAGGTGGATTCCTACCGGTTCAAATCGGTTTGGCTGAACTGATAGTGGTTTGGCGGCCTGGGTCATTGGAACTGACAGCAACCCAGCCCTGCCCCTGAACCAGTTCTCCTACGGGGCCGCCATCTTGATTTCCGGTTCTGAGCATGCACAGAACAATTGTAATTGCACAAATTTAATTTTTTTAAACGTTTTGCACATGCTCAGTTCTATTTTTGTACAAATGTGCATGTGTGCGAACTGGCAGTAATGCTGAGAGCAACCCACCTCTGGCCTGTTCCTTCGGCTGCCTATGCTCCTATAATCTCCTGTCCGATGGTAGGAGAGTAGAGAAGGGCTGAGAAACATTCAGGGTTTGAGTCCTCCCTGAGGATTTTCGTCACTCTGCTAAGGCAGCGAGTCCTGGCAATTTTGTCAG